GGCCCCGCCAGAGCAGAAAGCCAGAATACCCAATCTATGAGATCCCATCCTTTCCATTGATTGATACTTTCCTGTTGTCTACCTTGAATTCTTTCCTTGAGTTCCTTAACCGTAGTTGTAACTATTCCTGACTGGTTTACAAAATAACAACATTCCTCCCACAGAAAGATGCAAGTACCACCTTTTTCTGAAGTGAGGAGGTCTAAGGCTCACCTATTTTGGAGGTCACTGCGGCCAGAGAGTTTATTTGGCTTTGTAAGTTTACCAGAGAATCTGCCACCTGTTCCATGTCTTCATTTAGCTCTTGAGATAGTCTATGGTATAGTCCTACGGATGAACCTATGCCTCCATTCCAGTTCCTATTCCTGTCTCAATTCCTGCTCCTATCAGAACGGGTAGCAGGACTGCCTGTTTAGTCTGGGACTTGGGGCTAAAGGCTGTTAGGAGCTGATCTTCAGTGTATACAGATATCTCTGGGGTTAGGAAGATGGAATAACATATCTGAGTCCAGTTGGCTTCTAAGCATCGGTAGGCTGAATTAGAACATAGATAGAACACCTTAAGGGTTGAACATAAGGTTGTATTCCTCTTTAAGGTTATATTTCTTCATTATAGAGAGGTACCATTCATACCCTCAGGGACTGTACAGATTAGATTGTTGGCATTTATGAGATGGACCCCAGTGGCCAGGGGTCCAATTAAGACAGAAATTTTGGTTTTGAGATTTTCAGGAGCTTCCCAGATCAAAGGGATGGGAGTGGCTAAGTAAGCCCTCAGGCTGAGGGACAAACACATCCAGCAGGTTTGGGTGTGATTATATGTTTTATGGAAGACTTGTAGAGTAGTGTTGGCCCAACACTGGAGTGGGGAATTGGTAAGCATCTGATTTAAGGCTGAAAGGTTCAAACCCTGGTAGGCTGCCAGGGGAGTGGTCACATTTATGGCTCGTATACCTATCCTGGGTATCCTTTATAACTTTTTGAAGGGCCCTGTCTTGCACCCCTCCTCCGTCTGAGATCCCCCATTGAGGAAGGTAACTGTAGCAAACTCGCTTCCCTCTCTGGAGGCCCTTGTTGTGACATGGGTTCCTGACATTTTGGATTATCTCTATGGTCCAATACTTAGCCCTTGGGGCACCGGGTGACTGACAGAGAGTGGGTGTTTTTCCCTTGTAGCAATCTTTGTGGACGGAGGTGAAGGTGTTGAATGCCCTTGACCCCCTTATTGGCATATAACAATCCTGGGGGCAAAGTGGGTAAGCAGCAGTTGTGAGGGTGAGAGAGGTTATCATAGTATACAGGCAATACTTAATAATCCTCCCATCCAGAGGAGGTATGTGAGACCCGGCAAGTATCTTTTGTCCCATGTCCAGCTTGTTGGTGCAGTCTCTATCAGCCCAACAGTAAGAAGTAAAATCAGGGCTATGACACCAGTAAGGGGCAAGGGCTGGCAGAGTTGCATCCAAACCCCTGGGCTAGGTTCACACATTGATTCTTCAAGCTTCTGCCGCACAGGCCAGCCAGTTTCTGGGGTGTGGCAGGAGTAGGACTGAAGGTCTCAGGGGCCAGTGTCTTTTTGAGGGTCAGTTTAAGCAGGTTGACTGGATCTGGATCACTTTGCCAGGTTGTGGGTTCTTCTGAGTTGGCCTTCTTAACTCTGGAGTGATGGACCCATGGGGTGATACGTGAAACTTTAAGGGCTGTATCCTTTATTTGGCTGTATGTGAGTAAAGTCCACCTCTATGTCTTCAAAATGGGCGGCCCCCATCTTTTGTGTGCTGGGGGTGGGGCGTGGGGCAGACGGAGAATTGTTTTTGGCACACGTTACACATTGTTCACTGAGAGCTCGGCATAATTCCAGTAGCTGGCTGATATAGTAGTTCTTTTTGAGAAGGGCCTCCAGTGCAGTTTTCCCTAGGTGTGTGAGTTGGTGATATTCCTTCACTAGGTGTTTTCCCATAGACGACAGGACAAAGATGTGCCCATTTGGCATGACCCACCACCCTTCTTTGCTTACTGTGCCCCCTTCTGTCGAGGCCCAACTTCTTTCCTCATTTGTGTACAGGGGTGGGGAGGCATCTCTCTGGGGTGCAAGAGTCATAGTTTAGGTAGGAGCTTTGCCTAGGTCAGGCCACTCTGGCTCTTTTGTCGTCCAGTCGATTTTTTTTTTAAATATGAAATTTATTGTCAAATTGGTTTCCATACAACACCCAGTGTTCATCCCAACAGGTGCCCTCCTCAATACCCATCACCCACCCTCCCCTCTCTCTCACCCCCCATCAACCCTCAGTTTGTTCTCAGTTTTTAAGACTCTCTTATGTTTTTGCTTCCTCCCTCTCTAACCTCTTTTTTTTTTTCCTTCCCCTCCCCCATGGTCTTCTGTTAAGTTACTCAGGATCCACATAAGAGTGAAGACATATGGTATCTGTCTTTCTCTGTATGACTTATTTCACTTAGCATAGAATGCAAACTGGTGCAGCTGCTCTGGAAAACAGTGTGGAGGTTCCCCAAAAAACTAAAAATAGATCTACCCTATGGCCCAGCAATAGCACTGCTAGGAATTTACCCAAAGGATACAGGAGTGCTGATGCATAGGGGCACCTGTACCCCAATGTTTATAGCAGCATTTTCAACAATAGCCAAATTATGGGAAGAGCCTAAATGTCCATCAACTGATGAATGGAGAAAGAAATTGTGGTTTATATACACAATGGAACACTACATGGCAATGAGAAAGAATGAAATATGGCCTTTCGCAGGTGAGTTTTTTGAGTTATGGGGTCGTCTCCTTTCTGATGTCCCTTACAGTGTAGGATAGCTACCTTGTCTGGCAGCCATACGGCCTCAAGAAGCTTTAGCATTTCTTCCTTGTTTTTTGATAATTTTCCCTGCAGCAGTAAGGAGGCCTCTTTCTTTATAGATGGCCCTGTGTACATGCACAGTAGTGAAGGCATACCGAGAATCAGTATAGATGTTAACTCGTTTACCTTTGCTAAGGATGAAGGCTCAGGTTAAGGCATACAGTTCAGCTCGTTCTGCCAACCATCCTTCTGGCAATGCCTTGGCTTACAGAACTTCGGTGGTTGTGGTTACCGCATATCCTGCTCTTCGGCTGCCCTCTTATAAATAGATGCTCCCATCGCTGAACAGGATGGTCTCTGGACTTGTCATAGCCTGGTCTTGGAGGTCCAGGCAGCTGGCATGGACTTCATCCACTACTTTGGAACAGTCATGGTCAGGTTCTCCCTCTTCTGTGGGAAGGAAGGTGGCCAGGTTTAGTGTTCTTACTGTTTCGAGAGTGACCCTTGGGTTTTCATGGAGAAGGCCTTGGTATTGTGTCAGCCAAGAATTGGAGAGGAAACGATATCCTTGGGTGCTCATGAGGGACATGACTGCGTGTGGGACCTTAACATTAAGTGTTTGTCCCAGTGTGAGTTTGTCTGCCTCCTTAAAGAGCAGGACTGTGGCTGCTAGTGCTCTGAGGCACGGGAGGCCATCCTGCAACCACAGGATCAAGTTTTTTTTTTTGACAGGTAGGCTACTGGCCGTTGTCAAGGCCCCATGCTCTGAGTGAGCACTCCAAGGGCTATTTTGTCCTTTAATGTACGAAGAGGTTAAAGGGCCTTTCTATGTCAGGCAAACCCAGGGCTGGAGCTCGTCCCAGAGCCATCTTTATTTCTGTGAAAGCAGCCCTTGCGTCCTCAGTTCATGTGAGGGGCTCCCAGTCTGGCCCTCCCAAGAGGTCATAGAAGGGCCTCACTATGGCTGAGGATCCGGAAATCCAAATGCGACAGAACCCTGCGACCCCTAAAAATTCATGCAAGCCTCATTTTGGGGGGGGGGGAGCTGTGGCAGTGTGGTGATAACATTTTTCCTTTCTGGTCCTAGTTCTCTTTTTCCTTTTGTGAGGAGGAAGCCTAAATATCGGACCTGCTGCTGACAAATCAGTGCCTTTTTCCAAGAAACCCGGTACCCCAAGTAGGATAGGAGCTGCAGGAGGGCCTTGGTACCTTTCATACAGTTTTCTTGGGTGTCGCTGGCAAGGAGGAGGTCGTCTACATATTGGAGGAGGACACACCCTGTGATTTCCCTCAGAAAGTCGATGAGGTCGGCAGCTAGTACTTCCCCAAAAAGAGTGGGCAAGTTCTTGAAGCCTTGGGGAAGTTGTGTCCGGCTCAGCTGCAGCTGGCGCCCTGTAATGGACTCAGTCCATTCAAAGGCAAACAATGGCTGTTGACTTTGAGGAGCCAGGCGGAGGCAGAAGAAAGCATCCTTTAAGTCGAGGCATGTAAACCATCTGGCTGACCCCGGAATTTGGCTGAGGAGTGTATACGGGTTCAGAACCACTGGGTGTAAGGAAACACTTTGTTAATGGCCCTCAAATCCTGTACTGGTTGGTATCCTCCTCCTGGCTTCTTGACTGGCATGAGTGGGGTATTCCAAGCCGATTGGCACACAGTTAGAATACCTGCTTCTCTGAGCTTGGTCAGGTGCTCTTGTATACCCATTCTAGCCTCGAGTGGAAGGGAGTCTGCCTTTGTCTCCAAGGTTGGGCTCCAGGGATCAGGTCAACAATGATGGGGTCCAGTTCCAAGCTAGTCCAGGTGGGTTATCTTCAGCCCATACAGAAGGGAATGTAAGCCTGAACTCTGAAGGGCTACAGGGTAGGGCCTGGGCGCAGAATAGACTCCATTCTTCTTCCCTTGGCAGGGTAATCGCCACGACCAGGGTATCCTTCCGCCTTGAGTGTAACTGGAGGCTAATGTGTCCAGTGGGTTCAAAAGTTATCTGGTCCCCAAGTTTGGAGAGCAGATCCGTGGCCCAGGAGAGGAATTGAGCAGTCAGGTAAGTAGAGGAACTCATGCCAGACCTTGTGACCCTCAGGTTCACATTGTCAAGCTTGACGGAAGGGCTGCATCACTGTGTCCCAGTAGCCCCAAGTATGGTTTCCATCTTTTGGCTGAAGGGCGCCACCAGGGAAGTAACAACCGAGTGTTCAGCTCCAGTGTCAACAATGAAATTTATTGTTTGGCCCCCTACTTTCATTTCATGGGGGCCAAGAGAGAAAGAGCCCTGTCCCTTCAGTCTGATTCTATCCCGGCCAGACCGATGAGGTTCTCGCCTCGAGGTTCTTCCCGATATCAGCAGGGCTTTGAGGGGCCCTTCCAATTTGGACATTCATTTTTCCAGGGTCCCTTCTATTTGCAGTATGCACATTGGTCCCTTGCTAAGGGGGGCTCTGGTCTTCCCCCCTTTTGGTGGTTGGGGTCTTCCCATCTTCACAGCGTCTGTTTCTTTTAGTGCTGCTGCGAGAAAGGTGGCCTTCTTTTTTAGTCTTCTCTCTGCTTCTCTTTTGGCTGTGACTTCTCTGTTCATGAAACTTTACTGGCAACCTCTATCAGCTGATTGATATTCATCCCGGCAAAGCCCTCCAACTTCTGGAATTTTCTTCTGATGGTATTTTAGTCATGTTCACGGGCTTTTTGGCTCCAGCTTGGATTCCCCCAAGGAGGGCTTCCTGGTATCATCGGATGTGGGCTTGTCCTTCTGTGGTGAAATCCCATGTTGGGCGTTCTTCAGGCACAGCAGCTTGAGCCCAGACAGCAGGATCATTGATCCCCGGAGGTGTGTGATCTTCTGGATACTGTCATGTTTCTCTCATTCTTCTTCTTTCTTCTGTATTAAACAGAGTACGGAATAACTGTTGACTATCTTCCCAAGTCAGTCGGTGGGTCTGGAAGAGGGACTCCATCAAGTTGACCATTGCTTGTGGCTTTTCAGAGTATGATGGAGTATTGTGTTTCCAGTTGAGGAGGTTGGTTGTAGAGAAAGGTTGATAATACATCATGGAATGGCTGGCTGGACTGTTCCATCCTCATTCTGTCTTTCAGGCTCTCATCTCCCTTACAGGCATTTGGAGAGCTTTAGGTCTGGGTCTGGGGTGCGGTCTGGCTGCTGGCCCTTGTCTCCCGGGGAGGGTTCTCTGGGTGCAGGAGGTGAGGAGACATGGGCAGCAGTGGCAGCAGAGGAGAGACAGATGGGGGAGGAGTTTCAAGCTCAGGGGCATGGGGGAGGGAGCCTGGTGAGTCATAAGGTGGCAGAAAGACGGGATCTTCCTCCAGGTGTCATGCAAACACTAGGGGAGTGGTGAGTTTCTTCTTTGGCTCCCTGGGTGAATCTCCGGATAAAGCTGCTAAAACCTTTGCCTGACTCTGCTTGCTATGGATGAGTCGCACCTAAGACAGAGGATTTCAGGCAATTTCAAGTCAGGAGTCCATGTATGGAAATTTATCAGGGTGACCTGGGTTCCCATTGATTATCAGCCAAACCCGCTGCACTACTTGAGCATCTAATGTCCGTTCCGGGGGCCATCCTACATTCAATATGGGCCATTCTAGTTCACAAAAGGTCCTTAACTTCCTGGGTGTCATTTTCACCCTGTAATTGCCTGAAAATCCCTTTTTACAATTTTTGAGCATGACCTCTAAAATTGTAGGCTTACTCTGTTTTGATCCCACTATTAATTCCTTTCTCGTGTTTGGTGTCAGGGAAACAGACAAAGGGAGGGTATCCCCTCAGATGCCCTCAGGACCAACCAGATACTCCATTGGTCGTGTTCCCAAGGGAAACTTTAGGTGAGGCTTGGCCGTAGCAGACTCAGCTTTGTGACTTGTGATCGGAGTCTAATCTGATGCCACCCTGGACCGTATGCCTTTCACTCAGACTCAGGAGAGCCCACTCAGACTCCGTAGAATTTTGGGACCTTAAGGGTGCCCGTCCATGGAGCCACAAACTCGAACTCAAGTGGCAAGCCTGGCCAAGCCACACATTCTCTCTCTCTCTCTCTCTCTCTCTCTCTCTCTCTCACACACACACACACACACACACACACACACACACACACCGGAGTCTATTACATTCCCTCCTGTAAGATTTTCTACCTGTGAGACCACTAAGGTCTCCGGGAAGTGATCAGGTCCCCCCCTTCCACCCTTTTGGTTGGGCCTGACTACTTTGGTAGTCTCACTTGTGAGGTTCTCACTTCAGGTCCAGGTCCTCACCTACCAGGTCTCTTTGAGTCCAGCAGGAACGACAGAACACGGCCAGCCCCAGGTGACTGAACAGGGGACTGCCAAAATTCAGTCAGGACACGCCTTCTCCTTTATGATTCCTTGCTCCTTGCTCCGTCACAGCCTAGCCATTCTTCCAAACCAGTGGCAACAATGGGCCAGCGCGGTTAGGTTTCTCAGTCAGGGAACCAAATATGTTATGGAACCAGGCTGGAACGGTGGCAGAAAAACCAAGCAGCACTCAGAGATCTTGGTGGATCGGAGATTTAGTTAACACCGGAAGGCTCAGAGGAGACTGTTTCTCCAAAGATCTGAGCGCCAAATGAAAGTGGGAAGGGTAATTTATACTTGTCAGCTTCCATATCTGTGGTGGGTTTTTGTGCGCGCGGCAAACAGGGCAAGAAGAACCCAGAAGAAGGGTCTCTAAGCTAGAGACCAGAGCTTGTTTTAGTCCCATCGGCCATCTTTGGCGCAGTACTTTTTTCATTTCTCCAACAATTGCTGTTATGAAAGGATCAGGAAGAGAAAGAAAATTTAACAAAAGAGACTGAGAGGTAGGCACTGAAAAGATCTGAGGGAAACTGTGAGATAAGGGTGTCATAGAAAACAAGGGAAAATAGTATCTAGAAGAAGAGGGATAATGCACAAGAAGGTCATGCAAAGGCTAGTTTCTCCTGACAAAAGATTCATTTCATCTCTTAGCAATTCATGAGAGTGAAGGGAGAAGGGGAAAAATAATCTCAAATAAAGGGTACCAGGCACAAAATTCTCTAAAACCCTTATTTTGGTTAACCCCCTTAGTTTGATCTGAATTCCCAGGTCCCTCAGGGAAGATACATATGTCCTGAATACTGGAAAAGCAAATGCTACACAAGGTAAAATAAAGGATCAGGTTTGTGTCATTTTGGTGAAATAAAAACTCAGACAATTTTAGGTTTACAGGACAAAGAAGATGATGAGGGAAGGAAGTAATGGGGATTAATCAGAACAGTTTTACAAAGCAGTTGTCTGTACTGAACTCCCAAGCTAAGGCCAGTGAAAAGGAGGGCAGTGGTAGGTGTTGTATTATTTTTCTTTTTACCCTACCTGGTCCCAGAAAGAAATTATGACAGCATAAACTGTTTATTTGGGTAAATTATTCAACAAGCATTTATAGAGTAAAAATGAGAAAAGGTGAGCAGAAAAAGAAAGGATACATTAATCTAGGATAGATAAATGGGCAGATCCCTTCCAAGGGTAGATTTAGAGAAGAGTAGGGAGGAATAAAAGACTATAAACCGAGTCAGGGAATGTTGGTGGGCCCCTATGGCTTTGGGGGCCTGAGTGGAACTCAGGGGATAGGGGTCTCTTTTGATGCTAGAAAGATGGAGGTGGCTACCAGGGGCCTAGAATTGTCCCAGAGGGATGCAAGAAGTGGGCCTCATGAGCCTTTGCTCCTGGCCAGTTCTCAGCTAGAGGGTCCAA